GAAAAAGGAGGGAAGAAACTCTTCAGTTCCTGCAGCACTGGCAATACTTAAAGACTGGGGATCTGTTGGCTCTCAGGGTATGTGGATGTCCCCATCCAACAAGCTGCAGAGATGCGGACAGTCTCCTCTCAGTTTCAGCAGACTTTTATCAGTTTCAGTTGTTGTTAAACACAGCTGGTAGGGACAGGCTTTAGTGGGCCTCGTGATGATGGGTTGCCCGTTGGACTAGATGACCTTAGTGGTCTTTTCCAACTTTAACGGTTCTGTGATTCTATCAACAAAGTACCTCAGGAGCAATGCTGGTGTTAGCAGAAGATTTTCTGCTTTGTTCATATGGATTTTGAAATAATGCTTGCTGAAATCAGTGGCCCTTTTTTCATTAACTGCAGTTGGCTTTGGATCAGGACTGAGAAGGTTTACATCTACCAGAAATGCTGCTGGATGATTTCTTTAAAAAGCATTGAACTAAGATATATGATGGCATGGGCAGATCGAGGGAGAGAAAGTCCATTTCTCTTTTATATCGTCTCCTTCCTGCTCATATCAGCAATAATTTAGATAATTAAATTGCTTAGTTCAGTAGTTGGAGCAGACATGATCAGCAAGCTGACTCTACTAAGACATCAGATGCATCAGTGTTCTGTGGTTTTTTTGTTTGGTTTTGTTTTTTTCCTTTTTGCGTGTATGTGTAAAGCTTTATAATTGGATACTGCCTTTTTCACCCTAGGCTAGCTGCTTCTTCAGAGGAGCATACTAAAGACATTTGAAATCACACTCTAAATGCCCGCATGGGAAATTTATATGGCATACAGTGAAGGTTCAGTGGCAGCAGACAAATGGGTAAAATGAAGCAAAAAGTATCAGCAGTCCCCTTTGACTTTAACAGTAGGATGCACAGGTCAGTTTTGGGGTTTAGTAAGACATATCCTCCAGTATAAGCTCAGATATGCTAAAGAGCACACCGAAGTCCAAAACTGGGTGTGCTTTTTACATTCAGACCTTAGTCACTGTTCCTTACACCACCCCATAGGGTCTTTGAACTTTTGCTCCCATCAGGTAGGAGTGTTATTAAATCACACCGCTGAAATTCTCATGTTAAGGCTGACATTATTTTGTGGGCTGTTTTTTTTTTGTTTGTTTATTAATACAATTTTGTGACTGACTCACTCCTCTAAAGGATGAAAGAGATCACAGAAATTGACCTTTTTTTTTTTCTTTTTTTTTTTTTTTTTTTTTTTCCTATCTTTAATTCACGAGGGTTTTAGTACAGATGACATTTCTCAAACCAGGACAACAGTGGCTGGGTGGGCTGAGGGAGGGAATATCTGGTACTTGTGCTTAAATCACTCACTCTAGAAATACTGTTAAGTTTTCTGCTCTGCCACGTTCCTTACAAATGTCTCTTTTTTTCCCTTTATTTTTTCAGAATACCATTTCTAAGCACACGCTTTTGCTGCTTTCATACAATTTGCCCTCCTCATCCCTGAATTATGATGATGTGAAGGTATTATCTGAGAATCAGGCTCAAACAAATCCCTGTATGTCCCTTCAGCATCACACTCAGATAGGACAAAGACAGAGAGAGCAGGACAGAAAAATGCATCATATTATTCACAAAGGAAGAGGGGCTTTATTTTACAAATAAACTGATGTGAGGATATTCTTTCATTTTTATTCAATCAGGAAAAACGAACAGAACAAAAAAATTCAATCACAATAATATTCAGCTCAGCTGTTCATTTTGGTTCAGGATGTGTATGTGATGCTTTGGACAAGGGTTCTGCTCCCAGCCTCCATAAGGATCAAGAAGACAAAACAGCATCTCTTAAAATGCGGTAGTGCAAGAGAAGCCTGACAGTGAGCAAAAGAGTAAAGTGATTTTGAGATGAGAATACTGAATTCTCCTTCATCATTTTTTCTTTTTTATATACTTATATATATTTTCAATTTTGCAAATATTTGCCAAAATGAGTTTATTTATTGTTCAAGAACAGACAGGCCTTACCACGGATGCTCACCGACCTAGAACTCTATACCACTCCTCCAAAAAAGCAGTAGCAAAGTTAAATGTTGTATAGAGCTTGTGTCCATCTTCTGCATATTGTTTGTTCAGCTGTGAGGCTGTACAAATAGTTTGGTCCTGTGCCTGTATTTTAAGCACGAAGAGCTCACTTTAACATTTACCAGCCTTCTTTTCAGCCTGGATACCATTTCCACATCATTTTTGCATGCAGTCAGATTTATTCATTCATTTATTTCCCATTAAACTATTAAAAATGGGACCTTGGGCTTGGAGTCTACCAACTCAGTCGTAATAGGGTTTGTCATTTCTTTTTGCAGTATCAGCTAATACATGTAAACATGTCACAAAGTAATCTGACAGTGAAGTCTGAAAAATAATCAGAAAAAAAAGAGGTGTTTTTAACAGATGCACACTGACTTATGCCACATTGTCTGTCCCACGAACTGTCCCATTCTGGGCACTTTTTGAACAGTTTCTCCTGAAATGGGACATAGATATTGGTCAGCTTCTGGAATCACAGACTGGGCTCAGTCTCACAGTGGTGAACTGAAATGGAGGAGAAATACTGCACAGAACCTCTCATGAGAAATGCCTTTTCTCCAACCTTTCTTCTAACACCTCTGAAAACTGTTGATGTGGATGGGGCAATTTTATCTTCCTGAAACATCCATTCGTAAATAGGTTGAAAGTTAAGAGACTTGGTTCAATTCTGCATGGTATAAAAATGGATAAAATAATGTATTTTGGCCTGAGTGCAATAATAACACTGAACCACAAATGCATATTAAAGCCACCACAGTTTATGATTCTAGATTTTAAGCAGATGTTCTGGTTTAATTTGCATTTCTCCTCCCCTATTTTTAGGCTAAATGACTGTTCTGAGATACTTTTCAGCATACATAAGACAGCAATGAGCTACTGAAGTGTTTTAGCTAGAGTGGGGATGAGTGACTCCTTAAAAACACTTTTCTCATGTCTGGTCATATATGTAGCCCTTCTGCCCCAGCAGAAGTGGATAAAGTGAAGCCTGCCCACCAAACTCCACATCTTTGCCTTTCAAGCTGGCATGCATCCATCCTGCTGCTGTTCTACTGAGTGACACCAGCTGGTGTGGTCTTTTCCATTTATCCTAGCCTTGTATGAGTTAGCAGCTGGCAAAGGCTGTTTTTAATAATGTATTTATAAAACTTTGCTGCCGTGCAAGCCCAGACACACAGAAATGACGTTTGAGCTCTCAGCGCTGAAAGTGCAGAATGCCCCATGGCAGATCTGGTTTCCCATCTCTCCCTAAATGCCAGAAACCAACATTTCCTAGGAAAAAAAAACCTTGGGCTGCAGGCTCCCATAGCTATTTAAAGTTGCCTGCCCGATCCCTCCACAGGCGGCTGCCTGATTGGTATTTCTGTAATGTGTTTATTTAGAAGGAAATTCTAACTACTACTGTAGGGGAATGGTGATATTTTAATGCCCTTTTTACCTTGCAACCTTTTCTAGCAAGCTCTGTGAGAACCTTACTGTCTCACAGAGACACTGTCTGGTTGAGGTGTAAACTACAGCACCTGCCTGTGCTCTTTGGACTTAGGGATGGTGCTTAAATAAAGCACTTTGCTTTTTGGATCTTATCTAGCATTTATATTCCACTTCTGGCAGATGCTTCCAACTTCTTATTTGTAGAGCACACAGTGTATTCAGTACCTTATTTGTGTCTGCATATGATAAAGACCTTTGAAAATACAGGAGCCTGCATTTTGTACTGAGAATAAAAATTTATAGGTACAGGAGGCTTTCCCTTTTATATTTCCTAAACCAGAATGATTTACGATTTATTTCTGAGAGACGTAGTAGAGATTGACCCATTTTTTGACTGATCAAGACTGTACGTGAACAAATGCTGACACCTCTATGCTTTTTGTTCGTGATTCCTCAGAACCGTATTGCTTTGCAGAGAAATTTCCTAGAATGCATAATCAGCCCTACAGCAATGATCTATAGTGTACAGTGTTCCCTTTATGCCTTCTTTACACATCAAGGGGAAGAAACTGATGTGCATGTTAAAAGAGAGAGAAAGCTGAAATTCTTTAAGAAAATGAACCAAGAAATCTGTACACTAAAGAGTGAAAGATGGAAGCAGGAGCTGAGAACAACTTTTCCAAAATGATTCCTCAGGCATTAAGAGCTGCAAAGTGGAAACTATTTTCCCTTGCAAATGTGGAGTTTAGTACATTAAAGTGCAATGATTTCATGATTCTCATAGTAAAAATTAATTTTTAATATTAAATAAATGATTAAACAGTAAGAAAGGATTTAGATTGGTGTTAGAAAATGTAGCTGTACTTGACATGGCTTGTTACAGCACTATCTGAATTCTGTGGCTTCAGATAAGGTATATTTGAGACAGTAACCTTAAACTGAAGGTATTCCACTTGAGCTTTTACATTTCTTACCTAAATAGTTGAAAGATATATTTTGAAATTGGTGAGTTTATGACTATGGACATGGACAGCAGCAAGCACGTATAGGAAAACATCCATGTGTTTTTAGTGTTCAGCATTTCTGAGGCTTGGGAACTGAAAGCAGCCATAGGCGAAGTGGCAATGTGTGTGATTTGCAGTGGGCTGTATCCCAGCTCCTCGTCTTGTATCTCCTAATGATGAATATGTGGGAGGACCATGTCAAGAATAGTTTCCACTCCAGTGCGTTGATTGTGCAGTTGGCAGTGAGCTCAATTAAAGTATAATAATCTGGTAATCTTTCTCCTTTTCCACTCAGGCTGCTGCACACTGAATAGAGTCAGTGAAAGGCTATAGCATTTGAAAAGTAGGTGAACTTCTTGCCTCTTTGTCTGAGTGGTTTGTGTCTCGTCAACAAAATGAGAAGCGGAAGAGACAACTCCCCAAAACCATGCTCCCATGCCTTGCATCATTACTTTTGTTTGCTTTTCTGTGAGATAACACTTGCTCTTTATTTTCCTTGATAGGCCACAGATTGGATTTCTAGAGAGCTTCCCACCACGGTGAAAAGACAAGCTGATGTGAGAAAGGAGATATGTCTGTTATGGGAAGATGCCATTTACTCTGTCTCCTTCTTTTCACACTTGTGTTCAGTGAGGAGAGAACTGAGGCACAGAGAGCAGGTATGCACCATTCCACTCCTGTTAAATAGTGGCTGGGGCTTTTGCAAGACTGAGATGCTATCACTGTTATCATTGTAGGAAGAAAGCAATAAAAAAGCAAGCAAGATCCCCTGGTGTCCAGGGGATCAGGCCCAGCCAGCATGGGTTCATGAAAAGCAGGTTGTGCTTGACCAACCTTGTCTCCTTCTATGACTGGGTGACCAGTCTGGTAGATGAGGGAAGGGCTGTTGATGTAGTCTACCTAGACTTCAGCAAAGCCTTTGACGCGGTCTTTCACAGTATTCTGCAGAAACTGGCTGCCTGTGGTCTGGACAGGTCTACTCTTCTTTGGGTAAGAAACTGGCTAGAGGGCCGTGCCCAGCAGGTTGTGGTGAATGAAGTCCAGCTGGCGACCCGTTTCAAGTGGTGTCCCCCATGGGTCGGTACATGGGGCCCATCCTGTTTAATATCTTTCTAGATGACCTAGATGAGGGGATTGAGTGCACCCTCAGTAAGTTTGCAGATGACACCAAGCTGGGAGGTGGTGTCGATCTGCCTAAGGGTAGGGAGGCCCTTCGGAGGGATCTAGATAAGCTGGATCACTGGGCTGAGGTGAATGGGATGAGAAGAAAAAAAAAGGAGAAAAAAAAAGGAGTTTTTAGACGTTCTTTTAGTCTGAGGAATTGCTGCTTTAAAGAGATGTTACGTGATCTGCTCAGGCTGGAGAAGAAAAGGCTCTTGGGAGATCTCACTGTAGCCTTGCAGTATTTAAAAACAGCTTATAAGCAGGAGGGAGACTGACTCTTTTCATGGTCTGGTAGAGACAGGACAAGGAGGAACAATTTTGAACTAAAAGAGGGGAGGTTTAGATGAGGCTTTAGGCAGAAATTTTTTCTCAAAGGGCAGTGAGTCACTGGCACAGAGAAGCTGTGGATGCCCCATTCTTGGAAGTGCTCAAGGTGCCAGACTGGATGGGGCCCTGTCCAACCTGATCTAGTGCCTGATTTAATGGTTGGCAACCATGGTCATGGCAGAGGTGTTGGAACTACACAATCTTTGCAGTTCCTTCCAACCCAAGACATTCTGTGATTCTTTGTTTTTATGATTCTACGATTTTTGTAAGTCTTTTAGTATCAAGTTTCAAAGGAATGACTACTTATTAACAAATAAAAAGTGAAATGTCATCTTTTCTAGTTCTAGTGGATCAGTTACAGAAAGGAAGTACTGCTTATAATTTCATTATATAATTATGTTAAATAATTTTGGTCTTATGGCTTGTTTGTGAGCTATTTATAATGGCAGTGTAGCAAAATGGTTGAGCCAGTGTCTGAACAGGTGACTACAACTCTTGGAATTGTGGTTCCGGAGAGCATTCCTGTAATTAAAAAACTGAAAGTTCACTTTCTATGAATTATGTCCCATATTCCCTTAAAGTGAACTGTTTCTGCCAGTAAACAACATTGTAATAGCATTCTTGGAAAACAATCAATTTTACCTAGCAGTGGACAATGCAGTAATAAAAATGCAGATTCATACTTACTAAAAGCTTTTCTGCAGCATTTAATCTCACTGCCATCAGCAAAGAATGACTGACTTTAAGAAAAGGATCCTGAAAGACCATATTTTTCTGCAATGCTGCCTGAATAGGCATCACCTCGTTTTAAGGCTCATTGCCCTTGAACAGCGATAGCATGGATTCTTTCTGTTCTGTTTGTTTTTAAAGTACAGTCATCTCATCTGCTGAAAGTCATTAAAATGAACAACGGGAAGCTCTTTACTTTGTGGGTTTTATAGTTAAACCTTTATATTTTGTGGTTAGTCTCAGTTAATATTCTTTCAGAAAGCAGAGATTAACAGTGATTTTTTCTTTCATTATGGAAATCAGAGATTTCTTGCTTAACTTTTTCTGTTACATCCTTTATATTCTGCAAGAAGCAAATAGAACTATACTTGGCAATCTAGCCAATATACATGGGTGCAATGTAATTGGCATTTCATAATACAAAACCATATTTTCCATCATCTTCACACTCTCTTTGCTGAAGAGAATTACTGCAGTCTCTGTGCAGCAGCTTCCAGGTAGCTGCTCATGCTGCTGATATATCCAGACAGATCCTTCCTGCTTTGTGGTTACAATCAAGGATTTCCTCTTTTATAAAATTCCATCACAAAACATGATCCCATATGGACAAGTTGTTTTTAACATGACTTCAATCCCATATGGGCAGGTTGTTCCCTTTGTCACAGAAAGAACAGCAACACCTGGCTCAGGTTTCTGGCATGTCCCCTGTATCAGAAGTAAACGCAGCAACAGATGATGCTCATTTTTCATCATCCATAATGTACCAAGTATATGTTCAGCCTCTCTCAAAGCTATCATGTAGTATTGTGAGCATTGCTCTACAGTGTTGTAATGTCTGACTGTAATGCTGCTTCTCTTATTTGAAGGCAAGTTCTATTCATGTTACTGAGCCATCCACACACTCCTTTGCAGTGCAGGAGCTGTTGTAAGACTCCTGTCCTTTGTAGGGCAGGTGCACAACATTAAAATGATCAATAGCATCAAAACTAATATTTGAAATGTAAGCTCAAACGTGGGAGAAGACTTTGTGACCTTAGGCTCCGATATCAGAATTCTGTGAAGACATGCTAACAGTATCATACCCATCCACCTTTGGATAGTGTGTTTCATACTTCTATTCACTGAGGTGGCTGTCATGCAAGTACTTGGATACCTCCATATTCTTTGGCCTGTAGGGAAAAATGTCCAGTCTTCAACTAACAGCTGGAATGGATGCTTTTACATTAGCATTTTAGATCTGTTAAAGACTGCAGAAAGGAGTGAGTGTTTCCTAAGTGAGATGGCAGGACTGAGGATGTTCAGCCAAGAATCCAGGTCATCAAAGAAGCTGATGAAACAGGTCCGAGATCAATCCAGGAACATGACTCAGCAAGGCATAGTGCAAATGTGGTCTAAAGACAGCAGTTGAGATCAGCCATCTACTGGGCAGATCTGCAGAAGAGAGGCATGTCTGAGGTGATAAGACAAGGGGAAGTGGTTCCAAATTAAAAGAGAAGATATTTACACATAAGAAATCAGGTTTTTTAATAGAAAGTGTGGAGAGGCACCAAAGCTGGTTGCCCAGAGAGGTGGTGGATGCCCCATCCCTGCAGAAGTTCAGGATCAGGCTGGACTGGACACTGTGATTCTATGAGTAAATGTATCTTGATCACTGGTATGTAGAGGTTCAGTTGCTGGAGCCTGGCTGGAACTAATCTGGATGTGAAAACACAGAAATCATATAGTGAGGATGTCACTGACGTATAGAGAGCAGAACTGTTCTCAGTGAGCATACTTTAGAGTCATAACTTTCCTTGACTACTCCCAGATTTTCTGATCATGTGTGTTGATCAGACCAGACCATGGAGGAAGTTAATGTCATGGTTTTGATATTAATAATTAAGTGGTGCGGGCACTTGTATGGACCAGTTCTCTGTCATTAAGCGCTGTATGTGCTTGGTTTTTCACATGTTTTGTCAAATTAGCCTTTTAGGATTGATTCAAACAAGCAGTTGTGCTTGTGAGACGGTGTAGGACAAGAACTAATGCAGAAATGGTGACAGGTGGTTGTGACCCTATATAAATCGACTCTGTAGAGCCTTCAGTCTTGAAGCTGTGTGGCTTGTTAGGCACTACGGTTTATAATGGTAGATTAAATATATGCATGTATATGTTTTTCCAGGTGGCATAATGTTAATATATCTTGGTCATCTCTGGGAATTTTTATGTATATTTTGCCTGCTAGTTTGCATATAGTCAGAGAGAGCTGGAAAACATCTCCTGGGAGATTTATTTTCTTGGCAATCAGCTGACAAATATGTGATCAGTCTGGTTTCATAGGGCAAAAAATCTGCAATTAAAATACATTTGTCTTTCAGATTACACAGGCCACAGATTACAAATATCATGGCTGGTGCCAAAAGGGTGTTTGTAGAGATGAGTGAACTTTTTCAGTATAAAGAAACTGCCCTTTGTTGTCAGGGAAGCCATCCCAGTATTCAGTGAGTCATCCTTTAGTCAATAGTCAATGGCAGAGAGCCTCAAAATCGAAATAATCATGTTATAAAGTTGCTTCACCAAGCTATCATGCTGAGCAGAAGAACTGCTTCTAGCTAAGAATACATAAATCTTAATGTTAACGCAGGAGGGAACATGAAAGCTTCACTACTCAAGGTCAAGATTGGCATAGGGAAGGTCAGAACTGGTCTCTTGAGCTGAAGGTCATTTCAGAGCATTGCCTGAGCAAAGCAACTGCAATGAAGTTTTTAAAAGAGAAAAAATAGCTTCATATACATGCAGATGGTGTAGGTGAAAGATTGAGCAGAGGAAGTTAGTAGTGCAGGAAGAGGAAGGGTATGCATTTCAATGAGAAGTGCATGCTGATCCACTGTAGATCTGAAACAGAAGAAGTGAATCACAAGGCAGAACGGCTGAGAATCTGCACTTTCTCTGCAGAAGAGGGAGAGAGTTTCCTGTCTCCTCAGCATTGCTCACTGAGGAACCATGCCAGTGGAATATTTGTTTTGTCTGATAGTTGTGTTTCAACTTTCCTCAGCAATGTATTCTGCCACTTTTGCAGGTTGCAAGAATGTTCATTATGACCTTGTTTTCATCTTGGACGCCTCCTCCAGTGTCGGAAAAGAAGATTTTGAGAAGGTTCGACAGTGGGTGTCTAACTTGGTGGAAACTTTTGAGATTGGTCCTGACAAAACCCGTGTCGGTGTGGTGCGATACAGTGACAGGCCAACCACTGAGTTTGACCTGGGAAAGTACAAAACCCGTGAGGAAATCAAAGAGGCCGCCCGAAAAATTAGGTATTATGGGGGTAATACAAACACTGGAGATGCTCTCAGGTACATCAATACTTACAGTTTTTCCAAAGAGGCAGGTGGGAGACTTAGTGATCGAACTGTTAAAAAAGTGGCTATCCTTCTGACTGATGGAAGGAGCCAAGATTATGTCTTGGATCCCGCCAATGCAGCTCGTCAGGCTGGAATCAGGATCTTTGCTGTGGGTGTTGGTGAAGCCTTAAAAGAAGAATTGGATGAGATTGCTTCAGAACCAAAGTCTGCTCACGTGTTTCATGTCTCTGATTACAATGCCATTGATAAAATTCGGGGGAAGCTGAGAAGACGTCTCTGTGAAAGTAAGTAGACCTCACAGTTCTTTTACATGAAGAGAATTAGTAGGTTCAATTAACATGTAGGTGTGAAAAGCTCTGATTTTTTCCTTTCATACTTACCTGATTATAATTCTATGCTGATAGCTCTTTATTTTATTGTCTTCTCCTTTCTTCCACTCTGTAAGAAGTCATTTTACTACCTGGCTTGCGTTGAACTGCTTCCATTCTAGGTTCTTCTGCCCAAGTTAGCTTAAAGTATAGATCAGTTTCTAGTGATCAGCTTCTAGCTAGAAAACAGATCGTGAATTCCCTTTTCATTCTTAAATAGTTCAACTGCCTGTATTTTTGGACTAAATGGATTTCATCTGATTTATTCTGACATTGGTGAGAAGGTTGATAATCTTATTTATACCCCAAATTTAGTTAAGCTTGCATGGGAATCTTTGTGTTTTTGTTTTGTTTTTTAATTGAAGTGGGGAAGTTTTTTATTTTGTTTTGTTTTTCTCCTGTCTTTATTAGATTAAAAAAAAGTGCCCTGTATAATCTACTGAGAATAGGAAACAAAAGGAAACTTATTCGTTTCTGTCTTTAAACATCCTAACTCTACTAACGACTAGTGCTCTGCCTAGCAACCCCATAAATCTTGGTGATGTTTTGAGTGGTGTTTAGTAGAGAACAGTGTTCTCTTGTTCTTGGTTTTGCTGCTTTTCAGTGTGTGTTGTGGTCATTTTCAGTTCTTTAGGTCAAATTAATTAGATACTGTTTTGGATCATAGGTCTGAACTTGAAAGACAACAGACGAATCTCTGTGGGTTGCTGTAATGTTGTAATGTCAGTGACCTGGTCTACAGGCTAGGAAGTTGTCTTACTGTCTGCTGGTAGAAACATATCTGGGAAGAAGCGGGTCTTCCAGTTTGATGTTGTGAAGCTCTATTTTTGCTCTCCATAACATTTCTTTGCAAGAAAAATGTGTTAATGTAATGCTCTGTACTTATGAGTGCTTCTTAAATAAAGAGTTGTACTTGTAGACCTAGGTCTGGTGATGTTGCCCCACAACGTCATGATATGACGCTTTTTTGCTGCTTGAATAAAAATGCTTGTAGATGGTGTGAGATACAAGTGAAAATCATGCTGGGTATTCACTACACGTTGCAGATTGAAGGAGCTGAATGTTTCTTCTTGAAAATGTATGTAATTATACACTTATGACCAGAGTGGAATAAAGCAGGGTAAGCCCTTCTTGGTGGATATACTCAGACAACTCAAACAACCTCTTACTGAAACTGCTGAACAACCAAATTCTAATTTTCCTTTGAAAATCTGTCACATTTCTTTTCCAGGAAAACTGTTTTTAGAACTTCTTACCTGTTTGTTGCTTTCTCAAGAAAACATTTGCCCATTTGACAAAGTACAGTGCCATTTGTTTGTGGCTTTCTGAGTCCATGCTACATTCACAAACATGTTCATGTCACTCCTCAATAGATCCCAAAGGATTACTAGGAGCATATTTCATCCATATGTGATAATTATCACTCTCCAAGATGTTTGTTTCCACCTTCACCAGTAGGTTTGGTGTGGAGAAATAAAGCCTCTGAAAGGGTAAATGAAAGGAAAAAGTTTAGTTGTATTAGAAACAGGGAAATTTAAGGAGAAAGCTGACTGCTGTATGGATTGGTTTCTATGGAAGAACAAAGGGAATCGGACAGCCATCAATGAGCATTATTAATTAAAGAGGGAGCAGAGAGAAAGGGAGTTAGGTGAACAAACACGGGGTGGATAATGTTTTGAGGGACATTCAGGCAGAATAATGAAGTGTAAGATAGTTGGCAGTGACACAGGGGAAATAACCATCTGAGTGCATGAGGAATTTGAGAGGAGTGGATCCAGTATAGAAAGGGGAGTTAACAACTAGGGCAGTAAACACAGCTGCCTTAAAGTGTATCAGTCTTTACAGTGGCATGATTACCACATCCACAGCAGTTACAAGAAATAGGTCTGCAAAAGGTGTTCCTAGTGGGTGTTTTTCTGATTCAGAGATCCCAGTGAGATGCTGCAACATCTCTAGATCCTTCATTCCAGCCTTGGTAGAAGACACTTCTACTCAATATCTGGCCTCAATCCTTCTCACTATACTTGGAGCCCGAACCTGTCCTGTATTAGCATAGACACTGGATAACCTTTTTTTATTCTCTGAATAGTGAAGTGGAACTGTTCTGGAGGATGAGAGGGAGCTGGTGCAGAATCCAGTCTCTTCTGGTGCCTGTGTCACTCTTAAATGCTGTTTTAATATGTTGGGAACAGAAGAAGAGTTCACTGTAAGGGCTATATCTTGCACATGTTTAGAAGGTAAGACTTATAATAGATGTTGTGGTTAACAATCTGTAATTTCAATGTGAGAACTCTGAATAAAACAGGAACATACAAACCACTGGTAGGTGGAGAACATGATGAGGGCATATGCCAAGATGCTATTTAGTCTGTGCTGAGATAAAAGGGTGTATCATCAGAGCCAGCCTAGACTTTTAATAGATGCAATCCTCTGTGAGCTCCTGGGAGACATGAATCAATGAGTGGAAATGATAGAGGGGAAATTATTTTGTTGTACTGACCAGTGATGAGATTTCCAGTCTTTTACTACTATATTACGAAATGGGAAGACTTGTGCAGAGTTGCCAATAGAGGATTTCATGCCAACAGCTGTTCATAATCACTTGTCTCTGGTCTCACTGGATGTCTGTCTTAGACACTGTCATCCCATCTTGCTATATCTGACTGAATTTATTGCTAAGAACATGCCATTATGTTCATTTTTAACTTCTTAGCTGCTATTTGATCTTGTGGAAATGAGCAAGACAGAATCAAAAAATAACATGTCTGCTCAGTGAGATGTTGTGGCAGTGGGAGATATTTTTGACAAAAGTCTCCACTATGTTGTGGACTATATTTAGAAGGCAAAAATGGGTGATTCTTTCACAGGACAGCAGGAGAGATGTATTCTGTTAAAAATTCCAGATATGCGTTCTAAATAGAGTTTCTGCTTATATGTTGTTTAGGTAACAACAGGCAGCTATGGAATATTTAAAAATATACTGGCACCTGCTTCTGGTAGGTAAATAGAAGGTTTACGCTTGTCAAACACAGCCAACTGTTTCAGATTCAATACAGGTTTCATCCGATTCTGAACTTGATATGTTAGTGCATATATAAAGCTGTTGACCTGACATAGATCTGGTAGCTCTGGATGTTAACTTCAATAAGAAAGGCATTGCAGTGGTGCCCTAGAACACCCACATGTGGTCAGGGATAATTGTTTCTTAAACAGAATTGATTACAGTGTTCTGGATCCGTTTTTCTGTTGTTGTTAAGCAAGACAGGTGATAAGATGCTGTTTGCAAAACTGAGCAAAAATGTTCTCCTAAAACATTCTTGATCTCATTCTGACTCCATAAAGGAAAAGCCTGTGACTTGGCAACTTCAGGCTGATTTCTGAGCTCTAATCTACTGCAAAGTTCAAATTTCACAGTTTGAAAGGAAATTTGGCATGAGAGCTATAGTCTCTGCTAAAAATTATTTTTTTCTACACCTAGTAATAGGAGAACCACAAGCAGATGTTTTCTAAGGAAGTACTGCGCTCACCGTTGGTCCACGACCAATAGTAAGTTGTATTTGTAATGCAGCTCTTTCTACAATCAACTTTCAGTAGCCTGTGAGCTTGTTTTATCTTTCACTATGAGCTCTTCTATAAGTATGTGGAAGACTAAAGGACAATGTCATTAAATCAGTCTCAAATCTTAGCAAGCATAATGAGCTAGAGCTGAAATATTTCAGTATCTGATAGGTACCAATACTTCATCATTAATTTCAGTGCAGATACCAACTCCTGCAATCAAGTCTCAAAAGCAATCACATCTTCAGATGATTCATAAAGTGTATTCTATTTTGTACTTGTCTCTTTTGATTTTGGGTTGTGTGTGCAGTTCATAAAATGTAAGTCCAGTAGTACCATAGCTCTTTTTCTAAATGCAAAAATGCTTCCAACCTTCCATGCAGAAGCTTGAACACCATTCAAAATACTTAAACTCTTGAGTTGTTTAAGTCAACTTCCTCAAGTTCATGACATATTTGCAGAGGAATTTGCATTAAAAAAGCAGTCTGTTTCTTTGTGAACTTTAATATTAAAAAATATCTCATATATAGAGAACATGCTAGAGGATAGAGGATAGGACAGTTCCTAAGAAACTTATCAGTATGATGGAATCATACATGATTACTGAAATATCTGAGCACACCAGCACTTAGCAGTACTTACCTAATTGATGACATGAGCACTTTTTACTCCTTGTTGTCCTCTGAGGTTTCACTGAAAAAAAAAACCAAGTATTTATAAATAGCTTTGCATTAGACATCATGGAATAGGGAAGGAGACAGAATTTGTAGACTTGGGAATCTGCAGTCTACTCTTCCTTTCATAGTCTTTGTGTTCTCCAGAAGTTCGGCTTTGTGGTAGTTCCAAGCCTTGGATTTACTGCAGAGGGGTTTAGAAGCTGTTTTTTATTGTTGTAATCACTTGTAGAGACCTTCCACAAATGTGAACATTTGTCATGTGGGCAGAACTTAGGGCATGCCATACATTTACTTGTAAAAAATTGTGACACCCTCATCCATGTTGGGTGCAGAGAAGGTTGAAGTGTTTTAGGGTGTTTTAGAGTAATCTGAGCTGTCTAGAAGACTGGCTAAAGTCTATTAGCACCATATGTCCCGTGGGTCAATCTCACTGTTGTGCCTCCAACTCCTGTATACATCACACATGCCACAGATTGCACTCCTAGTGGATTGTTGTACATTTGTCTGCTTGGACAGTACGTTCAAGCAATGTGGCTATCAATTTATATTTTGCTTGAAAAAGGAGCAAAACTTTCACTTCTCATGGGTGATGGCCTGGCAGGATATAAAATGACTGATAGGTCTAGTGGTGATCTACCTTCTGCCACTGGTTGAAGGACAGTTTGCTGTCTTGGTTTGTAG